GCACAGCTTTACAATTATGGCTAAAATCAGAAGCAGTAAATATTAATATAACCACTAGTAAAAATGGTATATCCGACGTAGAACGATTTCATAAGACAGTTAACGAAAAACTAAGAATCATTAACAGCGACTCAGACGTCGAAAATAAACTTACAAAATTTGAAACTATACTCTACACGTACAATCATAAAACAAAGCACAAAACGACTAACAGAACACCAGCGGACATATTCATATATGCAGGTACACCAGAGTATGACACTCAAGCTAATAAAGAAAAACTAATAAATAATCTCAACAAAAAACGAACAAATTATGAAATTGACACTAGATACAAACACTCACCGTTAGTTAAATCAAAGACGACAACCCCGTTCAAGAAAACAGGAGAACTAAGACAAATCGACGACAAACATTTTGAGGAAACTAACAGAGGCAGGAAAATAACACATTACAAAACCAAATTCAAAAAGAAAAAGAAGACTAATCAAAGCAAATATAACAATTACAGGTCAACAACAGACAGCGATCAAAACATACAAGCACCAGCTTAAATTAATTATTATAATATTACTATCAATAACTGTAAACTATATAAATGCACAGAGTATTGAAATTAATCCTATCAAAGCCCATAACGGATATCTCATATTTAAAACAGGAACCATAGACATTCCGACAGATTACGAATTCCACTGTTTAACGGTTAATATAACAAAAACCGAAGAAACTTTTAACAATTTAATTGAACAAAGTAAAGAATTCAATAACCTTATACAAATCGAATACCTAGTAGAAAAATTAAACAGAGAAATAAACGGCTTAAAAATAGCCAAACGCAGCAAAAGAGGTTTAGTTAACATAGTAGGAACAGCATATAAATACTTATTTGGAACATTAGATCAAGAAGACAAAGCAGAAATTGAACAAAAAATAAGCAACTTAGCAGAAAACAGCGTTCAGGTTAACGAATTAAATTACATAATAGAAGCTATAAACAAAGGAATAGAAATCATGAACGAACTAGATCAAGAGAAACAAAAAGGAAAGAAATTAGATATCCTTATATTTAACTTACAACACTTTACAGAATATATAGAAGACATTGAGATGGGAATGCAGCTCACAAGATTAGGAATTTTTAACCCAAAATTACTAAAACATGACTATTTGTTGCATGTTAATTCTGAGAAATTGTTGAATACAAAAACTTCCACTTGGTTTAAATCAGATACAAACGAAATACTGATAATATCCCATATTCCTCGAGAAATAATAAAAAGCCCGGTATTCGAAATAATTCCATACCCGGATGAAAATAATAATATTTTGACAGAAATAGCTCATGAAAAATATTTTACCCAAGATAAAAAAGTTTATAGCAGAGAAACAAAAAAATTAATTAATAATGAATGTTTAACAGGAATTTTAAACCAAATAACATCAGAATGTAGTTATACTAAAATTTTGCAAAATTTTCAAATCAACTACATAGAACCAAATATAATTTTAACTTGGAATTTACCAAAAACTATATTAAACCATAATTGTATAAATAACGAAATAACAATAGAAGGAAACAATATAATAAAAATCTTTAATTGTTCATTGCAAATTAATGAAATTTCAATTTCAAACAATATGTTAGATTATACTCAAAGCATTTACGTAAGCAATGATGTTATAAAATTAGAACCACTTTCGTTTGTACAAACGAAACAAATTATAAATGCACATACAAAATTTAACAATGTATTCCAGATAATTACAATAACCATATTTGTAATCATATTAATAAGTTTAACACTGTATTTGACATATAAGTTCAAAAGCATACCTAAGAAATTAATTATAAAATATAAAAAACCCAAAGTAGAAGAAACACCTACAATAATAGGAGATATACCAATTCTAAAAGAAGAAAATGTTACACTATATCCAAACTTAAACACCTGAGGACAGGCACTTTTCTAATGGTTGGGGGAGTGACATATCCATAGTCGCACCCACCCTTTAACATAACTTAGCACATAAGCATAAGCACAACTATAAACATTTCTAATATTGTAAACAAAGAGCCTGGTGATAACATCGACATTGGTCAAGATCAAACTGTCCCCCTTTGGTAGACATAAACAATTCACCCTAAATATCACGCCACTGTCAATGTTCCCATCAGAGTACTATCCCACGCATAATTGCTGACGCAGCTCAAACTTCACTCAATTTTGACTCAAACTCTCTCAAAGCGAAGTTTGCTAAGCGACCGCAACAGTTAGATAAATCAGTTCTTATTCGGGAAGCAAATCTGAATGTACTCAACAAAAGTAGCCGTTAAGTGAAAATAATAAATTGAAATATATTTTTTTATAGTAACCTAACGTGTAAAACTTAATTATATATTTCTTAAAATCCGCTCCATAAAAAAATATTGCTTGTGTAAATTTTGCTTAAAGGGTATTACAATAAATATCAACTATGAAAGAAGAAAGCAAGAGCCAAACTCATGTGCGTTTGTCGATGCGCTTAGAAAATTTCGACAAAAGGCAGAACAATGGATGCAGAACAGAAGAAGGCAGAAAAAAATATGTTGTTCTTGTCTCACCTACATGCTGATCATCTATGCGAAGACCTTTGTGCGCTGTCTGCGCTTTATAAAAATACATGTACTATTGATGTGTACATACAGACAACGCGCACGCACACACACATACAGATGGAGATGTGCGTGTGTGTGTGGGGCTATATATGCACGCGCGTATACAGTTAGTTGTTTGAAAATTGAGCAAAAATAACAGCAGCGAAAAATCATTTTGTTGGCCAACCAACTGCTTGAGTTTCTATTTATAGACCAAAAATTGTAGGTGGCTTCTGATGTGTTGAAAAATACAAAAAAAATAAACCACAAAAAAAAAGGCAGAGCAAAAAAAAGGAACAAAAACAAACGGCAACAATTTGTTGTTGCGGCCGCCCTTGTTGCGCGCCCCAACCCCGCCCCCCTCTCCTCTGTGCCCCACCCACTCTTCAAAAAGCTAATACGTTTATGTTTTCTATGAAATTGTTCATTTCCTTTGTTCCATCAACCGCGGCCAATTTATTTCCAGCTATGTGCAAGCATGTCTATATAGGAAACTGATCTCTTCTGATATTTACAACAATTATATCACAAATATTATTTATTCTCGAGATCTGACTGCTGGACAGATTGACGGACATGAGTTTGTTTTACGAAATTTTTGATTTATCTCGCTGTGTTTGTTGCCATTTCATTTGATGTGTTTTTATTCTATAACACTCGAGTTAGGGCTGGCTGCGGCCCCGCCGGGCCACAAACATGGTCTGGCGCTGAGCCCAGACATGCATGTGTAAATGCTGTTGCTGCTGCTTCTTCTTCTAGTTCTTCTTGTTGTTGGAGTCTTATTTTTATACGTATACGTAATATTTGGCTTTTTTTCTTTCTTTCTTTTTTTTGTCTGTGCGCGTTCGGCCAATTTGTTTGCCAGTTACATTGTCATTATCTATCGCATGTCCATATAATTAATATGCATGTTGTTTATAGAATCAAAAAATAATGAAGATAGATCAGTTAGCGATAATTAGATCAATGCAAATGTCATCCTTTTGCTAATACAACTGTGTTTGGGAAATGTGATACTATCTATTCTATAGATACATATATTTAGAACTATTTTTTAAGAACCGATTCGCAAGCTATATACGCCGAATATACAGAAAGTATAAATAATAAAGACTGATAGCAATAAATAAACGATAAAAACTTAGTTGAGCACATCTCATTAAACCTTTTCCTTCGACTAATACTTCAGCGTGCGCTACTATCTATAGAATTTCTAAATGGCAAGCAACATACGTCTAGTATACCATATATAATAAATGATAAATATAGATCAGCTTACAATCAAGAGATCAATAAAAATTTTATTGATCTCGTTGTTTGAATCTAATTACTCATTGTGATGTCATTGTTCGAATCTAATAACTAATACAACTGCGTGGGAAATGTGTTGCTATTTGTAATGGCTAATGGCTAATATATGAAATCAAACAACTATATAGAGATATATCAGTTAGCAATAAATATATCAATTTAACACATCTTATATGTTTGATTCCCTTTACTTGTGCAATACTATTTAAAGAATTTTAACTAATTCTGCCACATCTGTAAACTCACATTCGCAATTAATATTCTAAAAAAAAAAAGTTGTTTAATTCATGAGACTGTTAATTTTGCAAGACTTTTGCCGCTTAACCTTAAGACTTTAGGGTCCACAAGGCTGCTTAAAAATAATATTAACCTATTTATATATATATATATATATCTAAACTAGGCATTAATAAATAATGTACTATCTAATTAAAAACCTTGCATTTATCATTAAGTTCACATTTAGCTTAAGTACATTAAGCTTAAAATATATTTTAACTTAAAACTTCAATTTATTTACATATATAAAGCCATTGTGTATACAAATCTTTGCTGCCTTACAAAAAAAAAGGTCATAATCTTTTTAAAATAAAATAAATAAATTCTTCTTGAATATATTTATGGTTATATAAATCAAAAATTTACCCAAAGCTGGCTGATTCCAAAGAATTAATTTCCAAAATTCCCGAGCTTTGCTCGTTTCGCTCCGAGGACATTGTAAGTATAACATTTAGTTTAAACAGGCTTTTAGAGGCGGGCAACAGTTATATAGGTATATATACATATATATACAGGACGAAAATGTTATAAATATTTACATAAGTTGATATAGGGGCGTTACGTTACGTTACGGCATTGCTGAGGCTTTTGTGCATATGTATGTGTAGTATACTGTTTGTGGGAAGAAAATCGTTTTAGAGGAAAATTACGATGAATTGGAAAAGTTGTGTTTAATCGAGTTTAAGTGTGCTTTTAATTGATTTAACTAGACAATTTGGATAGGGACTCACAAGTCAAGGACAACCCGTAATTAACATATGCACAAACTTACCCATTACCCTGGGTGGGCATGTTTCATGATCAGGACCTGTTGTCGTTTGAATAGATACAACGCATACATATATATTGGCTTATGTAAATATATGCTTAGAAATGTCTGGGGCAACGATTATCGATAATCGCCCAGCCGTTATGTATATAGGCAGATGATATATATAATCTTATATAGAGTTAATATGCCGCCGTACTTGGGTTAGTAACAAGATGGTACAGTTTAGTAAATAGATATCTAAACAGAAATATATATATATTTGTGATGCTATATTTAAATATATATATATATATATATATATATATATATATATATATATATATTAATGTACATAGCTAGGTAAAATTGTATTCAAGTTTTGTACCTAAGCTGTATGAATTTTAGTCACAAGAGAGCTTAACTGGATTTGTACTTTAATTCAATTCAATTAAATTGCTTTTAACGCTAAAAACTGCAACTGCTTTAAAATATTCAACCAATAAGTGTAAATAAAATTATAGATAATAATAATTAAGATAGTAGAGCGAGAGAGACAGAGAGAGAGAGAGAGTAAAGAGAGCTATAAAACAAAGAACAATTTGTACTCACAGAATAGCACGGCAACAAAATCGGTATCCTCGATAATCTTTAGCAATATCTTGGCGTTTACCTCCTCGATGCGATCGGGCAGATCCATGGCCTCGAGCGAGGTTAGAAAATCGAGCACGCCCTCCTCATCCATGAGATCACCATCATAGATGATGGGCTCCTTTTCCCTAATGTTTTTGTATATCGAGTCATTCGCTTGAATTGTGATATTGTTTTTGTTTTGCTGTTGTTGTTGCATTTGCATTTACCTGAAATAGGTGAGCGCCGGGAAGGTCTTGATGCCATATTGTTTGGCTAGTCGTTTGTCGTTAATTTTCACAAAGTCCACACCAAATGAATCGGTGTCATCGTCGATTTTTTCGAGCTCCGCTAAAACCTTATCACAGGTCACACAGCTACGCGCATCTGTAAGCAATTAAACAAATTTTTGATCATAATACACAATGCGATTATTTTTGTCAAAGATTTCTCAGAAATCTTATAAAGATACCAACATGAATTGACGACTAGCAACTGTCGCGTGTGACGCCAAATGCCGCGGCGATTATTCATGGCGGTACAGGATGCATCATCGGTAATGCAAACTACCCCACCGCCATCCGCCACCCGAACCCCCTCCCACCGCCCTTCCGCCCAGCTAACCATCATATATAGAGAGCAAGAACCGCAAATGGCATTCTGGGCACCCAACGCCCAGGCTAGTGAATGAAATGACAGCAGCAGCAGAGATTCTGCATTGGCTTCTATATTGTATGTGGTTTACATGGCGGATATTTATATATATATAGATATATTTGGTATATATGTTGCATATGTTATATATATGGTTAGCTATTAATGTGTGTGCACAACTGCCAACCGCATATTGCTAAATTAATTCATAAAAATTGATGCAGCCACTATTAGGGAAATGAATTGCACCACACAACAAGCTCTATCCACGCGTGTGTGTGTTTTTTGGGTGGTTGCACGCCCCTACATTATACGATTTATAAGATGTGCAACAGTGCATCTATTCACAAATGTATAATATCATATGTGTTTTTTTTTGGGTTTTTGCCCTATTTAAAAGTAAATTTTATTTCTAATTTGCGGCAGTTAAAAGCGGTTTGCGCTAGTTTAATCTATTTATTTGCATAAATACTTGAACTTCATTTGTTTAGTTTATATATGTTTTGGCGAATCGGAAAAAAACACTTTAGCGTCCGGCAGTCTGTTGTTCGATTTTATAGTTTTTTATGCGCGTCAAATACATGGAACAGATGCTGCGCCCATATTACGTATACGCAATATATGATTTGATTTAAATTGATTTAGTTTCTTGTTGTTGTTGCTGGTTTTCCTTACAATTTTGCATGGATATACATATATTTTATCTGTTAGCAATATTTTCACAACGCATTGCAATAACATTAATAGCATTTACTTGAAATAATAAACAAATTTTGTTGACTGCAAATTTTTATGGCCAATTGCATTGCCAATTTCAATGTGCTGCCATTTGCGTAGGCTATTCTTCGTGCAGGCTCATCTAAAATTTATATACTTTTTACTTTTACTTGATTTATTTGCATTCAAAATTTCAGTGTCAACAAGCACAACATTTTGGAATATTCACAAGCATGGCGGAATAGTCAATGCTAAACAAAAATTTATTTTCGTACATTAACTAATGCATTTAGCTAAATGTAAAATAATTTCAAGTTGATTTTTAATTAACTTGCGACATTGATAGACAATTTTTTGCTTATTCGATTCTAAATACATATAAATATGCGAGGCATATGAAAAATTTCCCTTGAGCGTAACAATATCCACAGTCCGAAGGTGATTAACGTTTGGAAAACGTATTTAACATGATTTGGGCAGCTATTTTTAAGCGAATAAATAATAGGCATGCGGCGATTTGTTTATGCGAATTTAGCGCTCAATTTTTATAAGCTAAAAAATTATTCAATAAATCTTTTAATGGCCAAAAAGGCTTTCTCCATATTTAATGTAAACTTTGCAATAAATTTAGAGCATTTTTTAATATAGCCAAAAAAAAAAGCAACGATCTATATAGCTGGAGGGGTCTTGGCATTGGCTAGCTTATTTACTGGGCAATATTTTCGTGGCATCCCTTCACTGCCAAACTGTTTGCGCCAAATCTAGAGAAGAGGCAAGATAAACTACTCTGGCGACACACACAGAGAGATACATATTGCAGAAAGCACTAAAATAAGAAGAACAACAACGCACGGAGACGGCAATTTCTCACAGCCAAAGCGATTGCTGCTCATAAACAGAACGCAAAGATACCACTGGGGGGGAAAAATAGAAACAAAAAAAAAAGCAAAGAAAAAAAAAGACGAACAGAGACTACTAGCAACAAAAAAAAAAAAAAAAAAAAAAATAGAAAAGGAAAAAAAAAACTAAACCGAATGAAAATCTCAAGACATTTCGTACAACGAAATTTTTCACATATTTTCACTTGTATGCGAATTTTTAGAATTTTCACTAGAGAAAATTTATATAATATGGCTTCTGTTACTATTTCGAGTCGCACGGCCATCGTGCGTTCAAGAAGATTAAATCGAACGCTAACGCAGCGCCCGGATCTCAAATCTCCCCGCCCATTACTAGGCAACTACAACAATATTGGGCAGGCATTGCTGTGTGTGTGTGTGTGTGTGTGTGTGGGTGTGTGTGTACTTACACCAGAAGACGGCAACGTAATCCTTGTCGGCCAACAGCTTCTCCAACTGCTTGGCATTGACCTCCTCGATGACGGCCTCTGGCTCAAGCGGCGCCGCCGCTGGCTGCGATCCTTTCTTGTTAGCGCAATTCACATATCCGGGAAAACTCAGTGCCAGTAATGTACACACGAGCAATGTCAGAGTTTTTAATCGCGTGAAAGTCATCTTTCGATTTCCTTCAATACGGTACTAATCAATTACTTTGGCCTGGCCGTTGCGATTAATTATTGTATTTAACAATTATCTTTAAACTCTTAACTCAAACATGCGTGCGTGTATGTGTTTGAAATGATATTATTATTAATATATTGATTTGATTGAAAAGTTAGCAAAAAAATCGTCGTTTATTAGCGTTGTCGTTATTAGAAATTATAATTTGATTTTTTTTTTTTTTTTTGAAAATAAAGGCACTATTTTTAGTTGAAAATCTTATTTCTTTCGCGTACACTAATACATATACTTTGTGCGCATATATATACAGGCAAAAATATATATAGGTTATATATATGAGAAAATTAGATTATATATAAATATATATATACATATGTATATATGTATATATATTTCTATTAATTGAATGTTTTCCGCGGACTGTACTCTTTTTAGTTTTTCAATTTTGTTCCACTCCGTGCAGAGGTCCGCTCGCAACTGAAAGTCTTTTGGTGAACATTCTATGCCAATCAAGAGGCCTAGTCAAGCTTTAGGGATCTTATATTTCGGGCATTTTAGCTTTTTGCCATAGCTTTCGGAATGAGCGATAGAGCGCCAAATGGACCGCTGCATGATCGCCGAAAAAGTGTGGTGAAATTTTGGGAAAACGAGCGAGAGCTGTTCACATCATCTGCTTTGCGTTGCAATTCTTTGTTTATGCATCTCGACAACTAAATGTATATATATATAGAGACGCTCGGTGGTCTTACGAAACTTTCTGTAAAAACAAAACTGGCAAAGTACCTATGTATGTTGCCTGTACTGTATATACAACAAGAAGGAAAGTATAAAAGGCAATTGTGAAATGCGTAAATGTATTTAAATCACAACAGCTGCGCGCACATGGCCGCTCATGTGAAGCAAAACAAAATCATAATTTTTGATTTATAAATGCAACTGATGAGTTCAATATAATTTCTACCTAAGATTTATTGCAAGTGCAAAAGCAATGTACGTCAAAGCAAAATAGATCAATTAATCAAATCTTATCACAGATAAAATTACAATAGAGAGTGAGGTTAAGTGATTTTAGAAGGCGTTTTTAATAACGGTTATGTGTAACAAACAATATCATAATTAAAAGTAATAAATGTGTGCTTTTTATATGTTTTCAATAGTCTTATAGCTACTAGCTATAACATTTATTATATGTTGTAAAAATCGACTTAAAATTCTAGTTTAAAGCGTTTTTGCTCGTTAACTAAAAATAACTGCCAAATAATTTTTAAATTGCAAATATCGATACCAGCCCAGAATCGTTAATTTGAAAAGTCGATATACAGCTATCGATACTGTTTGGTGAGCGTGTGTGTAGACAATGTTCCATTGTGATATATTTTCGCTCTCAATATTCGGTCACACTGCACACATATCTCCCAAATATTGTTAGAGGAAGACGTCTCGTCGTAGAGCTCTATTCCGTCAATTAATAGTTTCGGCCGTAAATGCAAGTGCAAAACACCAACAACTAAACGTTGGTATGCGTAGTGCATGCTAAATTTATAGTAAAAACAATAAGTGTCTCAGCGCGTTAAGAAAAACGAAAGGAACACTCCAACAGTCCAAAGATAACGCGCGCCTGTTGGAACCGTATAAAAATCGATTCGAATCTGTTAAATTTCAGGTAAAGTGCAAATCGATGAATGCAAAGTGCATTGATTTTACGTGTTTCACATATATTTCAATCAAAAAACTGCCCAAATGTGCACATAGAAACGGTTCACCTTGAACTCGAAGGCATTGCAGAGACGCCCCAGCCATAGACAGCCGCGCATACCAAAGCAATAAATACCAAAACAAATGTTGTTGTATTGCGATTTCTTTGATTTGCAGTTCATTGCAGTTTTGTATGTGCATAAAAACATATTTGACGACTAGTGCAGAATATTGACATTGATAAGCACAGCAATTCTTTGGCTCTAAGCATTTTATCGCATTTCAATGTGAAGGTGAAAGTTATCAGCTGCTTGCAACGCTTTGGCAAATGTAATTTTGTTATTGTTTTGCACCTGGCCATGACAACGATTGTATACTCTTTCCTTTGGCCAATGATGCCTAATGAGTGTATGCAAATTATGTGTGTGTATTCGAATAATACGACAGCCCTGTCATTCGTGATTTTTTATAGGGTATATAATCTGTTCCCCAAGTACGTAACACATTATATAATATATATGTATATGTATATGTGTATATATATTTGAACCGCGTCGATATGCTCAGCAATTAGGATCTTTCGTATGGGCATAATCTTATTAGCATCGAAATAATATATCATATAGTTGTTATAGAAACAATAATTGTCATGATAAAGTGTCCCATGGGAACAGCTCGTCGGAAATTTATAAATATATATCAATGCACATCGGCTTTATGCCCGCAAGTGTATTTAATGTTCGCCAAGAACTCTGCTTTCTTGTTTGTTTATAATCGTATCCGGCACCAGTTGTTTATATCACATACTTACATTGTTGCAATTCAATTGCAAGGGTATTTGATATTTGAAGCACAAGAATGTGTTTCATTTTTATAAGAAATGCCCAGGGCCTTTATCACAAAACCTGCCACTAAAACTTATCATTAAATGCAGTAATTTACAGATATCATTTACTTCTTGTTAAGTAGAACGTGTGCTTAAGCTCGGCTTGTTTACTTAGAAACCCGTTTCAAATATAAACATAGCTGCAGCTGTTCAAAATCGGTAGATTTTATAGAACAAACTAAAGTTTTATTATAGAAACAAAAAAAATACCCTACACGGCTTTAAAAGGGAAACTGTAGGAAAAACCCGCTCATTGTTCAGCCAGAATTCAATTGTCGAGCCAGCAAGAGCTGCTTGTAGAACTAATTTAGAAAGAGTTGAATTAATATCTTTATCTTGCTCAATTCGCAGCAGGGCGCATGACAATTTAGCGGCTTGTATGTCATTATTACTATGAAATTGGATGAAATTGTCGCATGGTAAGCAATTGCATCACATCAGTTTGACACACTTTTGATTAACTAATGTTGTTTTTTTCTTTTTGTAGGTACCAGAAACGAATCGGCACCTATGATAAACAAGAATGGGAGAAAACAGTCGAACAGCGCATTTTGGATGGCTTTAATAGCATCAATTTGAAGAACACCAAACTCAAGACAGAGCTCATCGATGTAGATCTGGTGCGAGGTGCGTTAGCCTATGCAATACTCTGTAAAGCATTAATTTATGATTAATGATTATTTTGAAACAGGCTCCACATTTCCCAAAGCAAAACCAAAACAAACTCTGCTCACTGTCATACGTTTGGCTATACTGCGCTACCTTTTGCTGCCCCTCTACGCACAATGGTGGGTCAAGCAGACGACTCCCAATGCCTTTGGCTTTATACTCTGCCTGTACGTCACACAACTGATCAATTGGGCCATATACATCATGCACAGCAATCGCCTGGCGCCGCTGGTCTACGATCGGGAAACAAATACAACTGTTGTCGATGATGTGGCCACGGCTGCCGTCGATGATAAGCAGCATTCGGAGGAGAGTGCCGATCTGCTTAGTGCGCTGCTAATACCCTGTGCGCTTAGTTTGTTGATTAGTTTAATACACTCGCAGATTGTGGCAACAAATACGTCGCCGAGCGGCAGCAACAAGAACAAATTGCGTCGCTTTTCCATGTGCGCTTTTGGCGAGAAACCGAATGCGCCCAGAGAGCAGCGATTGCGGCGACGCAAAAAGTTTGTACGGCAAGTATAGAGTATACCTAATCATAACCGCAGCCTAACTAATGATTAATTTGTTGCACAGCCTGCGCCAAGCCGAAACGGATATTTCACAGCCCAGCAGCAATCACTCATTGAGCGCGCGACGTAGTAAACTGACTCCCCTGAACACCGAAGCCAACTCAGAGTTAATGCCCTGCAATTGCAGCCCTTTGCCCAGCGAGGAGACCTTCCCAACCACAACTGCCATAACCATACATCATCATCAAGCGGCTGCAGCGGATAGCACAACGGTTAGCGAGCCGCTGTACGATCTCAGACAGGTGGCAAATGCTGCACCTGACAGTCCGCACAAAAAGCGCAATGTCAATTGGCATACGCCCATCCAAATCTATGCCACATTCGATCAGAATGAGCTGCCCTCGTCCAGCATTGAAGTGTGCAACGGACCAGCGTCGAGTGGCGCATGCTTGGATCCCAACTACAGAGCACGTCGTAGCATTGGCGAAGACGATGGCTTCGAGAGCCTGAACAATAAAAGCTCCAGTGGCGAGGATAACAATCATTCTCCCAATGTAGCCAATGTTGGTAGTGCGAGCGCAACAACCACTGTCATCTCACCGCCCCCCACACATCTGCGCCTGCGCCTAAATGTTGGCGGCAGCAACCAGACCAACGGCGGCGGAAGCACCAATGCGCCGTCAACTGAAAAAGTTACCCATGAATCCACGAGCAGCTGTGCAGAGTCCGATGAATGTGACGATGCGGATATTATATCCAGTCCCGCATCGGCTGGCACACAAGAGTGCAATACATCGGCCACCGATTGGCTGGGCGTGACCACCAACAGTGAAGATTGCAGCTATACATCCGAGTTGGATCAATCCGATGGCGGCTATAAGCATCAGCCATGCAGCGACGAGGAGATTCCCGAGCTGGACATAACACCCACAACCATACTCAATCCGCACAGCAGCATGGATCGCAGTAAGTTGTGTCGCAATTGAATGACTAATTGATTGTAGAGTAAAACCGAAAATACATTTATATTATATTTATATTCATATTTAATATTTTAGATAATACCATTATTATCTGCTTTATTTGAATTTCTTATCGCCACCTCTTTACCCCAGTTAGCTGCACTATTTGGGATCAACGCGATGCGAAAAAGGCGCAAATGTCTGTACTGGAGATAGCCTCCTGCATTATTGAGCGCGTCGATTCGCTGGGCGTGACCAATGATTACATCTACATAGGCGTCTTTTTCTCATTCCTACTGACGCTGATACCCACATTCTGTCGGCTATGCGAGGTACGTGCTGGGCATGGTAAAGCGTCTTCGTGCTTAATTCTACCTGTACTTGCAGATCACAATTGATGCGGATAAGGCCAGCGAGATAAGCTATTTCTATATGCCGCAGCTGTTGTGGGAGAAGTCATCGTCCTCGTTTTTTACACTCTTGGGCTTTGCCTTTGGCGAGGCGCAATGGGAGCGAACCGTATTGGCGCTGGGCTTTGTGCAGCGCCTGTGCCTGACACTTATATTGTTTATGATATTTGCTGTGGCGGAGCGCACCTTTAAGCAGCGGTAA